CACCAGCCACCCACATCTTCATCACGTGTGCAGAAAGGAGGGAGACAGAAGAGCCAACTTTGTGGATGGGGGGGATGAGCATGGTCAGAGTCTGAGCAGGAGCCTCAGAGCACAGGGCTCAGTGTGGGCAAGTCTGTGGCAGCGGTTGGTGGAGGTGCTCCGCCTGAATACTTGGAGCTCAGGAATGCTGTCCTTATTGACGGCCCAAAGGATAGGGCTGGCCTTGAAGGAAGGTGGCTGCAGACACCATTGGTGAGGGATAGGGGCCTTTATTTGGAAGGTGCAGCAGGGAAGGGGGGCAATAAAATGTTTTGTGCCTGACTTTCCATAGAATTTCTGGGCTTTGCTGCCACCTGGTGGACAGAACTTAGAAGCCATGGCTGTAGTTGTCTTGGCCAAATGTTGGTGTCTTGCTGGATATTTCTTTCTTTCTGAACCCTTGGTTGGAAAAGTTCTTCTGACTTCGGGTAAGTGAGTTCCTGGGTTCCTATAAGTCCCAGGTGCCATGCTCACAAAGCTCCTTCTTCTATGGATTTAGAGCTCATTACAAAGGGACACAGATTGTAGGGCTGCATGGGAGATCTGGCAAGGTTCCTAGAGTGTGCAAGACTCTCACACTGTCTCAGTACAGGAACTCAAAGCTGAAGTTTTATGGAGGAACTCTGTTAGGAAGCCGAAGGTGTGGGGCTGAGTATGAGACATAACACGGGGACAGAATGTGCACCAGTATTTGGGTACGGCGTGGCAAAGGTAGGTTCTTTAGTTCCCTTGGCTAGGCCTGTCCTTAATATGGGACCAGCAGGACAAAGGTCTCCATCCACCACTTACCAGGATTAGTTCTCACTGGTTCCAAATGTGACCTGAGCCAATGAAGAAGGGCCAGCATGATGCCTGGTGACTCTACTAGAGCCTTGTGGAGTCCCTGAGCATTTCTTCATTGGGATCACAAAACCCCTAACACCTATGATGTGGGATAGTGTGGACACAAGGAGCCCGGGATGGAAGATCTTACTTACACTTGGGTGTGACACTCCACCACATGCTCATATCCTGCAGTAAAAATGTTTCAGCAGGCAGTGGGTGTCCAAGCACAGCTCTGGGCTCCCTCCTCCCAAAAACTGAGGTGGATCTGTCCTCCCTTGTCACCGCTCCCAAGCCACAGAGCTAAAGGAGATGCGATTTGTTCCTTTCCAGACTCCTGACCTAATAATCATTGTTAGCCTTGGCCTTGCCAGGAAGTTCTTCCTTCAGTCTAACTTTCACACTTCCAGATATAACAGAAAGGAAAGGAGAGGGGGAGAGGGAGAGAGAAAGAAAGAGAGAGAGAGACAGAGAGACAGAGAGACGGAGAGACGGAGAGACAGAGAGACAGAGAGAGAGAGGGGGCCAGGCTATTTCAGGATGGGATATTCTTATTCCCTAAAACTGGGGTTGAATTCTCTAACCACGACACTGTGACACTCAGGGTTGGCCATCACAGGCCTCAGTGTGGTAGCTTAAATTATAGAGGACTAAGCTAGAAAGATGGAAAGACAAAAAAACCAAAAAACCCATCCAAGTCCCAGCTGAAACCTAGTTAGTAGCTGTGTGCTTGCCTTGGTGGGATGTCCCCCATCTCTCATAGGTCAGAGTACCCAGTGCGGCAGGAAGAGAAGGCCAGGGAGTTGGTGTTAGGCCAAGGCAATTTCGTGGGGTGGGCTGGACCAGTGTGCCTGCCTCTGGTGCAGTCAGAGGAGCTGCCCCTTCTTGCCCAACACCCCTTCCCCCAAACAAGCGGAGGGAGGCAGAGGGAGTGATTAGCATGGGGCATTGTCCCCAGATAATGGGCCCCAGCTGCCTCCTGAAAGAAGAGACAAAGCGCCTGGCGGCTCCACGCACATTATCCCCTCGTTAAATCTCTGTTATTAGATTAGATTCAGAATGTATTGATTCAGAAGCTCCGGGTGGGGGTGCTGTGGGGGGGAGCTGGCTGGTGAACACTGAGCTGCACTCCCCACTCCATCACCAGGAAACTTTTCCTCTAAGCTAGCCTGGGGGAAATCACAGTTGTGTCCTGGTCTTGTCGTCCATCCTCCCCCACCTCTCCCCGCCCCCCCCACCCAGCCTTCCCACTCCTCCTACCCCAACCCCTTGCACTGGCTGCTAAGCTCAACCTCCCGGTCCCAGCGCTCCTGAAAGCCACCAGGTGTCCACTCTAGAGCACGCTTTGAGGTCATTGAGCACAGGTGGCCAACATCAGGAACAAAAGCCATTTCCTTCCTAGGAGCGCTCGAGAGGGGAGATGAAGAGGTGCGGGAGGGGCGTGGAGACCTGAAGCCTATCAAGCCAATCCCTTTGCCTAGGATAGGGTCAGAGGCAGTGGGGCCATGTAGACTAACGCAGGCCTGTAGAAGCTGGAGTGTGCTAAAGGCCTCGATTCCCCGCAGCTAACCATGAGCAGAACAGAAGGCTGGTTCTCTCCCTTCACTCTGTTATGCTCCTTTTTCCCTGGAGCCTGGGACTTTCCTTTGTGGGTCTGTCTGTGAGTCACTTGGAGAGTGTCTGTCTAACTTATCTTCCTACTTCAGACTACCCCCACCCTAGATGGGGATAGCTCTGGGATAGAAGCCATTATCTTCTGAGAGCCACCTTGGCCCCTCAAGCCAAGGACCTCTTAGGACCACCTTGCAGTTGAGGCAATGATGGGTGGGAGTAGGCAGGTCCTTATCTAGACCAAGATTGGCTGCTTATTCATATCTCTTGCCACTTGCCATGAATCTTCCTTTATTTACTCCTAAAGCTCATGTCAGTGACCCAAACCTGAATTTAGGGTCACTGTACCCGCTTATCTGTTTTATCTCAATATGGCTACATTGCATAAACCTCTCTGCCCATTAAACTTCACCACCCTCTCTCCACAGGATCTCACTGTCACTCGGGCTGACCTTGAACTCACAGTAATCCTTCTGCCTCAGTCTCACAAGTACAGATGTAGCCACCATTCCTGGTTTTACTTGTCTTTTTAGTTGTCACATTAGGGACTGGAGCCCCAGCCTAGCCTCTTTGAAATGCCTCAGTATGAACTTTAGTTATGAAAGGAAGGAGGTAGGCAAGTGACTGGAGGTGTCCCCAAACATGGTAAGGACTTCTTAGGGCATAGTCCAAGATTAACACTGATGAAGAGAAGTTGGTGCACTGATGACATTCTCCAGTGCTGGTCCTCAGTTTCCCATCCATGGGAAGTATGGCACAGATGCCAGATCAATGCTCCTATTGGATGTGGCCAGTGGACTGGAAGATGTTACATGCAGCAGCTCATTCCTGAGGTGGTTAATTGGCTGCCTCAGTACTGGGCTCTGTCGCCCCATTGATTACGAGTGAAGGGTGAGAAGGGGGAGATGGGGAATCAATAGGCTGATGAGTGTCTTACTAGCTCTCTGGTTGAACACTTTGTCAATAGCTACCCACTTAATGGCCAGTGGTGCATTGACTGTCCATCTTTCTATCCTGTGGCCTGGGACACGAGAACCTTCTGATAGTGAGTGACTAGGCCCAGAAGTCCTAGTAGGTAGGGCAGCTTTTGACTCTAAAACCAGGCTCCAGACAGGCATTGGTGGTGCACATCTTTAATCCCAGCACTCGGGAGGCAGAGGCGGTCGGATTTCTGTGAGTTCAAGGCCAGCCTGGTCTACAGAGCGAGTTCCAGGACAACCTCCAAAACAATACAGAGAAACCCTGTCTTGAAAAAACAAAAAAAAACAGGCCCCAAATGAGGAATTGCAGAGCCTATCCTAAACAAGGAGAAGGTCTCCACATCTTGCTCAGCCAAAGGCAACTCTGGGTCCTGTACTCTCCTGTTTGTTAACAGAGCCTGATTGCCACACAAACAAAAAAAAATAAAGGTGAAATTCTGAAGTCATATCAAAAGCCCATTTGTCTGGGGTAGAGATAGCGATGAACACCAGGTCACCTGAGGAGCTAGCAGCTAGAATTCAGGAGCTCTTTCTGTATGGCGTGGATTCTTGGACAAGAGGCAGCTAACAAAAGATAAACCAGGTAAGCCCTTCTTCAGCCTTGGGCTCTTTCACGTGTGACAAAACCCAAGGCCATAAATTTCTGCGCTCTGCTCAGCCTCCCAGGTGGTTTATGAACTGAAGTGGCAGAGTTTGGGGGTTTGAGAAGGTGTCATCCCCAGTGTTTGTATTGACTTTCTTATTGTTGGCTGCTTTGGAATAGCTTAAGAGGTAATAGCACTGTTTGGTCTCATCCCAGACATTTGTCGGTGGGTTCCTGTCCCTGTAGCCTGGCCATTCGTTGTCTAGTCCCTCCCTATCTTGCTCTCCTTTGAGTGTCAAGCAGCTCAAAAGAGGGAGAGGAATAAGATAGGAACAAGATAAAGTGTCAGAGGGAACTTCTTCTATACACTCTTGAGACTAAGACAGAATATTCCTTCCCCTAGATGCCTATTAGGTGCGTGGAGTGGAAGTTGGGGCCTTGCTTAGCTTGTCTTAAGCCCTGATGTCTAGGACAGGTGACCAGGAAAAGTTATGTCCAAGAGCATTATCCCAGGTCTGCCTCCCACCAAGCCCTGCTTCCTGGTTATGGCCACTAGACACTAGGTACTAAGAGCGCTCAGGGGAGATGCCTCAACCCAAGTCTTGCATTCAGCATCTCCTAAACACTAAGTTAGGGGTGCTGGCCGTGGTGCTGAAGTCTTATCTCCTTGGCGGCACTCTGTTGCAGAGCTTGCTCCCTAGAGACCATAAATCTAGAAGAGTTGGCCCACATGGATCCTTCCAGCATTTTCCCAATGGACTGCAGAAAGCCTTCCTCTCTTCACTTATTTGATAAATGGTCAGTCTTAACCTTCAAACTCATCCACCTCCTATTGTTTCATCATGATGGCTGTCATGTCACCCTCTAGTTCCTCCGTCCAGAAAGGATCTGTCAACTGAAACTACAGGTAATTCCACCATCCAGACTTTTCCCAAAGCTCAATACAAATGGTCATGAGCAGAGAACAAGATACCATTGTGCTTTATTATCCTCCTGCCCCTACTGGCTGATAAAGCTGAATGCTAGGGGGTGGCCACAGGTGACCTGAATAGGGAGCCCTTAGAGGATGGATAAAATGGATGCAGAAGTCCCAGGAACCTGTGCTAGAGAGCTAATTTTTCTTCAATCAAAAACCAAATCTTGTGGAAATGAGCAGTTACAAGGGCTTTAATCGAGGAAGTACCGGAAAGCAAACCCAGGCTTGATGTGTTGATAAGTAAAATTAGAGCATACTTGAACTAAGATATTATACTTTAAAGCTATGGTGGGGAAGTAGTGAATGAGTTGCAGAGGCAGAATGGGTCTTCAGCACTAAATTTCAGAGCCAAGGGTTCAGACACTGGTTTGGGATTGCTCAAACTATTTGGTGTTGGAAACAGAATGAAGGACCTAAGGGGAAATCCTCCATCCTTAGCCTAACTAGCCCTGCATAACCTTTTGGGTTGGGTTCACTCAAGAATAATGCCAAATGGACCAGAGCGTGATCAGGGTGATGCTGTAGGCCAGCACAGCCAGCAGGTAGATGCGGAATAGCAGCCTGTCCAGCACATATCCCACTTGCAGCCAGTCCCGAGCCACCTCCCGCATCTCATCTCGCTTCTCCAGGAAGTGCCGGATGGAAGATAGCTCTTGCAAAAGCCCACGTACAGCTAGCGAGGCCTCTCTAGGTGGTGGAGGAGGGCTACCTCTGCCCCTCGGGGTCTTCTCCAAGTCCTGGGGTTCCCCAACATGGCTGAAGTGGTTTCCCATGACTGAAAGAAGAGCAGAGCCTTGGTATGACAGGGAGGCCAGTGAGATACTCTGACGCTGAGGCAGAGAGGTAGGGCATGGAGGCCAGAAGTTGGGTGTCTTCCTCAGTTGCACTCTACCTTTCTCTCTCTTTTTTAAGGACAGTATGTCACTATGTAGTCCTGGATGGTCTGAAACTCACTACATAGCCTGCAATGGCATCAAACTCACAGAGCTCTACCTACGTATGTCTCCCAAGTGCTGGGATTCAAGGCATGCCCTCACCACCACACCCAGCTCCTCTGAGCTCTTCTCAGTCTATGGGGCTCAGCCTCTATGACTCTCACCTTTCATTCACCTAGACTGATGAGGGGTTTGAAAGAAAAGCAAAAGGTGGTACATGCCTTTAACCCTATCACTTCCAAAACAGGAAAGATCTCTGTGAAAGCTTGCCCAGATCAGCCAGGGCTGCATAGTAAGACCCCATCTTTTTAAAAAAGGGAAAAGGGAAACAAGGTTCCAGTCTGATTGATTTTTTTGGTTGAAGCATCCTCCTGCTTCTATCCTGCACTGAGCTCCCAGATCCTATCCTGTATCTCTGACATGTCAAAACCTCCAGACTCTATGTGTGAGACTGTCCCTATCCTCTCTCACCTGAGAAGTCATCAGTCTTGTTGGCTTGGAAGGTGGCTGGGGGCCTATGGGCTATGGGCTGCTCCCCTAGGCAGAGCAACCAGGCCATTTTCTGTAGGACCAGGTGCCTTAGCCAGGCTGGCACTGGCCGCTGAAGGTCCTGCTTGTGCACCAGCCGCACAATGAAGATGGTCTCAGCAAGGCTTATCACCAGCAAAGCCATGCACACCACAAAGTAGACACCTGAGCCAGAGAAAGAGAAACACTAAGGGTGGGGGCAGGTCCTCACCACAGTGAACACTTCCTTGGGGGAAGGCCTTACCGATGAGGGGAGTGCCGATGGCTGTTGCTGGCAGTGTATCTGACACAATGATGAGAAAGACCGAGTATCCCAGAAGGAGCGTGATCTTGAAAGAGACTCTCTCGCCGCTGTCCGGGGGCAAGCAAAAGCCCACAATGTCTACGACCATGAGGAAGATACTGGGCAGCAAGAGACTGACTGCGTAGAATAAAGGCCGCCGGCGGATGACCACCTGGGACCAGGACAGAAGCTTAGCAGGTGATTGGGCAGACAGGAACCTAGGAACCACTATCCCCTACCCACCCCACTCTTCTTATAGAACATCTAGCATGGATTTCTTGGGGAAGGAGAGTAACGGACCCATGTCCTTCCTCCGGCCCCAGGCTTGTGCCTGTTGAGTATAAACACAGGGTGCTTCCATTGCATTCCCATGGCCCCTGCTGAAGTTGCACGGAATGTGTGTGGACCTGGAGTTGGCACAAGGGCTACATGTCCTTCCCGGTTTACCTCCTTACATTACACCACCCCCAGTGTGGAGGTCTAGCCACACCCACTCACATAGAACTTCATTTCTGCATAGCTGTAACTGGTTTTCATACTGAACTCCTGAAACTGGGTGAGCACTCCCAGTAGCTCCCACTCGCCCTGATTCATGAAGACGCTCTTGTCCGACCTCACTTCTTCTGGTGATCGCCACAGGGAGATGTTGATGTCCTGGACTGAGAAGAGACAAAGGCAAAAAGAAGAAAAAAGAAAAAGAAAAAGAAAAGAAAAAAAAGGCTTTGGACTCTCAAGTATAGAGCCAGAGCCTCCAAGCATAACAAGGTGATGCATATGATGGACAGCACCCAAGGAACCTTCTTGTCAGATCTCTAAACCCCAGACCTCTGCCCTTAACCTTCAGCCCTGGTTTCCCCAGCTGTATAGAAATGAAGTTCTATGTGAGTGGGCATGGCTGTGACTGCAGGAGATTCAAAAAGTGAGGCGATAGAACACATTTTGTCTATCTCACAAGCCTATAGTGAGGGGACAGTGCAAAAAACCGCAGGAAGCATTCATTAGGAAGCTTTATGTCTCTGTATCACTTACTTACTTACACACACACACACACACACACACACCTTCCAAACAGCCTTCTGTGTTTTTTTGTTAGAACTTCTCATCTAGGAAATGAATTAAACATTTTTTACCCTGTCTTCACAGAACTACCTGTCTTTGAATAAGAATCAGGAAAATAAGATAAATCCTAAATTAGTCCATATCACAGATATCTCTGTCCCTCTCTTTCTTTCTCTTTCTCTCTCTCCATATATATGTATATATGTACTATATATAATATACATATAAAGGAAATTATCTAAATGCTCATCAGTGAGGAAAATACTTAATAAACAATGATACACCTAGATGAGTCTATTGAAGATAAAATTTATGAGGAAGATCTCATACACACTAACTTTGAAAAAGGTCAGGGATTCACTGTTGATACAAAGAATCAAGTAGCACTGTATGACAGTATATGCAATATGTGCTCTCCATACATAGCTCATGTGTGTGTGCATGCACACACATGTGGGTGGAAATGCATAGAGAAGTACATGGAAGACTATCACGTCATGTTGTATTTAAAAACAATTTTTATATGTATGAGCGTTTTGCCTGCATGGATGTTTATGTACTGTATGTGTGCAATGCCTGTGGAGGCCAGAGGAGGGCATTGGATTCCCTGGAACTGGAGTTACAGTTATGAGCTATCTTGTGTGTGCTGAGAACAGAACCTGGGTCCTCTGGCAGGGCAACAAGTGCTCTTAACTGCTGAGTCATCTTTCTAGCCCCCATAATTGAAGTTTAATGTAATGAATACATCAGAACAGGACAGATTGTCTTCCTATAATGCCTTCTCTAGTCCTCCACTGAATATCTGGCACTTAAATGCTCAGTAAAAATTCTCAGGGCCAGACACTGTACTAGAGAGTCTAATAGTAGACCAGAAACCATGTTCCCACTCCTCTGAAATTATACCCATGAGAAAATTAGACATGGACTGAACAAGTGTCGTCAAGCGATGAAGTTAGTAAGAAAAACCAGGCTTTTTTTTTAAACTGCACAAGAGATAGCTAGTCTGGGGGGCTCTGGGAAGTCCTCCCAGGAGCTGGTGATCCATGGGGGATAATCAGGTGAGTGGAGGGGTTGAGAGTAGGAGAAGGAAGAGGGGTAGGTCACTGGGGGAGAGAACAGCCTGTGATAAAGAGAACGGACAGAACCTCCGGGCCTCCAGAGGAAGGCAGCTGGGCTGGCACACACCAGATGAAGCTGGTGTGGTACACTGTGGGCAGGACCAGGTCGAGGATTTGGATTGGGTCCCAGGACTGCTGGGAAACCATTGAGGAGTTTAATGATATGATCAGATTTGCATTTTAATAAGAGCTCACTGGCTGCTGTGGGAGCAGGAGCCACAGTGGGGGTGGCGCATGGGGAAAACCAGGGCAGGAAGGGAACAAGGACACCTGGGCAGGAGGGGACGGCTTAACTCAGGGGTGAAGAGGAGTGGGTGGGTCTGAGATACACTTCCTGACAGACCCTTTTTGAGACACTGAGTAAGAGTTGTCCCTTGCAGAGTACCTAGGAGCCCAGTCACACTGTCCCATTACTCCCTGTAGCAACTAGCGGAGGCAGTGAGAATATTGGCTCCAACAGGAGGAATAGGAACCAGAGACTCACTGGCGTTAAAAAGACAAGTGGCAGGATCTATTGCTCAGTGGTGGGGTACTTGCCTAGCTCAGGCAAGGTCTTAGGTCAGATCCCCAGAATCAGGAAGGAACAAGATACATGAAAGATATGTCAGAAGGGAAGAGAGGAGGGAGAAGATAAGTAGTGTCTTGATTAATGGAGGCTGTTATCATAGAGAGTGTTCCTGGCCCCAAGTGCCCGGGAACCCCAACCTCTGCCCCACCCACAAGCCCACATACTCACTGGAATGCAGCCAGCTGGTAAAGGTCAGAGAGCAGTTCTGCACATCGAAGGGGAAGTTATAGATGTCAAGGCTACAGGCGGTCACCACCTGAAGGGGCTTGTAGTTTTGGACTTCACCTCGATGACGCACATACACATAGGGGATGTTCGGAGACTTCCCCACGTCCACACTGGAAAGGGAAGAGGAATTGGTTTGTGGGCACAGAGAGGCTAAAGATCTTTTGGGTAGCCTAATAGGAAAAGAAATTCAGGGAAGGATCTAGACAGCAAGATAATCCAGACATTTTGTCTGGCCTTAACTTTCCAGTGTTATCAATCTTAGCTTCCTGACCCACTATTATTGAAGCTGTGCTCCAAACAGTAAAGGGTGTTTCTCTTTGACTCCCCTAACAACCTAGCTCTCAAAGGCAGAGAAGGAATCCATGATTCTATAAGCCACTGGCTGTAGGGAGCTAGTCTAGCTGTCTCCAGGCTGTCACGCCCACAGAATAGAGCTGGCATCCAGAGTAGCCAATGATTGATAGGAAAGAAGAATCCTGTTCAATCCTGACTCTGATTTTGCTTTGATTTTCATTTCTAGAAGTGCCCATAATGGGAGCAGTCATCTCAGGAGGGAAGAGAACAGAGATCATGAATAAGAATAGGGGGCCTAGGAAAATCCAACAAGAATTCAGCACATTCTCCTGACTGAGCCTGGACCCCAAGGCCTGAGGTAAGCCAAGCCCAGGGTCCCTGCCTGTATCCTTCTGTGGGGTTGTCTGAAAGGTAAGAAGCTAAAATACAGGTGGAATACTTGCCACCTGTGCCGTTTGGGCATTCAAAGGTGGAGTCAAATTCAATGGCCTTCTTTAGGAAAATGCCATGGAGTTGGACAATGCAGTTGATACTACATGAATCCCTCCGCACCTCCCCTTAGTATTAGTTTTGTTTTTTTTTACGATAAGGTCTCATGTAGTCCAGGCCTTGAACTTTCCATGTAGTCAGAAATGGCCTTGAACTTCTAATAATCTTGCCTCCATGTCCCAAGGGCTGGGATTGTAGGCCTGTGCCACCACATTGGGTTCATTTGATACTAGGCATGGAACCCAGGCACTTTGCATGCTAGCCAGATACTCTACCAATTGAGTCACAGCCCCAGCCTACTTTCCCCCTTCTATCCATATTTTCCCCACGTATCTTCCTTGCCTTTGAACTCAGATGTCCAGTTGGTGGACCCTGGATGAACCTGCAGGATGGGGAGAAAGTCAGCTGGCTGAAGGCATTGGGATGGTGTTGGGCTGCTGGGAACAAAAGCTAATGGGACCCACTTCATCCTGGAGGTGCCAATTGTGGCCTGTTCAGCAAATGTGTGGCTTGGGAGGTTTGAACATGTTCCTTGGCTCCCAATCTCTTTTGTGTCCAGGAGCACTGGCTGCCATCGGTGTTTCACTCCTTTCCAAAAAACTGTAACGGTCCCCTCTGACAAATGCAGCTGTCTCCATTAAGTTATTAGAACTCAGTGTGACATCGCTTGCTGGCTTCTGTTCCTATGGTAGAGGCCCCTGCACTAAGAAGATAAAGTTGTAGCATCCAGTACAGAAAGAAAGGGATGGATAAAGGAGGACTTGAGCAAATGCCAACTTGACCCACAGCCTGCAAGCCTGGCTGGGCAGTTTGGAGGCTGCAAAGAGGAAATTGTCACCATGCCTGGCTTCACTAACCCCATCCTCCTGGCCTCCTAGACTCTGATGAAAGTACTCACAACTCATTGATGAGAATGTCAGGGACCCAGATGCTGTCTGTGGGGATGGACAATTTGGTGATGTTGTCAAAGTCCTCAGGAGTCCACTGCAGAAACTCATCAGTCCAGAACTGTGGGAGAAGCAGAAACAGCCATAGGCAGTACCCTTCCTCTTTGGTGAGGGTCATCTGCAAATCAGACAGATCTGTGCCTCTTCTGCTCAGGAAGTAGGTGGCCATCTTTCAGGGGGAAAGCTGGGCACTGACCCACATCACTCACTGGTTGCTGAGAGACCCTGCCTCTACAGCTCTCTATCATCTGCATGTATAACATCACAGACTGCTGCAGCCTCTTCTGGGGAAGCACGTAGCCTGTTCTTGTTTGGCTCCTTGCCCATGAGACAGGGTGTGTTTTGAATTAAGGGGTCCTTCGGTGAGACAGAAATGGAGCTGTCTGATAGGAATCAACATTCCTCTACTATATTCTCTGTCCCGTTTGGGTGTCATGGTGACAGAGCATGGCTATGACCATGGGGATGGATTCCACAGAGCCCTGTGGTTGCCTCTGGGGTGAGGCCTCTCTGGTTTACCTCCCTATCCAGACCTCAGTCAAGACCTGAGACATCTGTATACCAGTGTGATATACACCTGTCAAAACTGAACACGTGGCACCAGGGCAGAGTCCTAGGGGTTAAGTGGATGGCTTCTTCCTGTCTCTATCTCTCAATTTGGTTGTTGTCCAACTTAGTGTAGAAGAACTTCCTAGAAGTTGGAGCTGTTTACATGAAAGTGAAGTGAGGTCATGGATTGTCCTCTCTCCGGGGTTAGTCAGTCAGCACTTGTCTGGGAAGCTTCAAAGAATCTGAGAAAGCAGGAGTGGGGGCTGGGAGGATGTCCCTCACCCATTTGGGCCTGTCCCTGAGAGGGGGACATTTCAGACTCTTAGATCTTATATCCGTCTACCATGCCTCTGAACCTCCACATGGCCAGTGAGATTCCTGACTCCTTGAGAGGGGGACATCCTTCCTGGCAGAGACTTCTCCTCGGTAGCAGGGTAGTGAGAGGCGGTCTGCTCACCTGCCGGTACCAGATGTAGGTGGTCAGTACTTGGTTCTTCTCATCCTAGGAAAGGAAAGGGAGCTGACAGGTGGTCCCACACACACCACCTAACAGGAGCTGGTCTTCTGGGAAGGCAGGAGGAGGGAAGGGATTAGGGGAGGGGATGAACTGTGCTGGGTGGCCAGGAGAAGTTTCTCTGCTAAGATACAGCTAGAATAAAATGCAATGGTTTCTTTTAAAGTATGAAGATACATAGTGTGGTGTGGTGGTACATGCCTACAATCCAATACCCAGAGGGCTGAGGCAGGCATATTGGACTGGACTTGAGGCCAGTCTGGGAATATGGTAAAACGTTCTCTCGATAAAACAGGGGGAAAACCCTAAAGATAAGTAAATTATGTGTGTTTTCTGTTGCCATTGTTTATCATATTTATATAGCATATATAATGTATATATGACCTGCTGTGTTGTGAAATTAAGAAACTCAAAACTACAGAATAAAATGGTGGTTACCTTCCTCTCTTCCATCTAACTACAGGTCTCCCTTTTTGAAGCAGCACACCAAGCTGCCGTTAGCTATTCTCTCCAGAGATGTTCTAAATTTTGTGATTCCCTCCTGTATGGGCGAGGTGTCATGTGACCCAAGTAGCCTGTGACATCGGTTCCCACCTCCCCATTGCAAGGCACAGAGCCAACAGCTCTTCAATGGCCTTTTTGTCCATCTCCATGCAATGCTTGGCCTCACGTGCTGAAGAGGCAGTTATTGATTAGTTAATTGATCTTTAGTTGACATTTTATCTACTATTACCATTTAGTGACACCTGCCATCCAAGGACCTGTATAAGGCACTAACTAAGGGTGTAGAGATGATATGGGGAGACAGTTTCCATCATGTAGGAGGAGACCACATCTAGGGTTTGTGGTTTGGGCAGCTGTGCAGATGCAACTTCAGTCTATCCTCAGCCATGATGCCAGGCCACAGGCACTAGGGTTCTTGATGCCCACTGTACTGCCCAGGAGGTGATCTGACCTCACATGACTTCTCTGACCACCTCCCCCGAAACAGATTGAGGGCAGCTCACCACACTGAGGATGGCATACATGATGACATCGATGGAGACTGTAGTAGGCTTCCTCCAGTCCCGCACAGGCCGCACCCCCTTCCTGTAGTTGGCCAGGAGGTGATCCGACAGCCTGAGCAGAGCAGGCCTGGTGGTGTTGTGGGCCTGCGTGGCTGCCCTCTGGCTGGCTGGGAAGGAGAACAGTTTAACATGGGAGTCAGAGCCCTGGTGCTCTTGACCCATCTTAGAATCTGTTTAAGAATTTCATCCTCTGGGCGGTTGAAATGGCTCAGTGACTAAAGACACCTGCCACCAAGCCTCATGACCTGAGAGAACGGACTTCTGCAAGTTATCCTCTGACTTCCACATACGCAGCAAGGCATATGTGTGACTACATACACACATAATAATAATGATGATGACGATAATCATTATTATTATAAATGTAATTTTAAAAAGAAGAAGCAACTCTAGCACCGGGCCCCCGCCCTATTCTGGGGATTTTGAGTATTCTTCGGTTTCCCTCTGGAAAACAGAAAGCGAGCATGACATGTGAAAGCCCCGCTTTCATCGGCAGCACATTACTATAATTGGAATGATACGGAGGTTATGGAGGACCCTGCGCAAGGATGACATGCAAACTCGTGAACAGTCCATAGTCCATTAAACAAAATGAAAGTCAGCGTACATGGGGTGGGGAGGGCGCAGCCCAGAGGGTCAGGGCCCAGGCATCAAGAAGGTGGCATTGTAGAGTGGAATGGTCCTTAGCATACCAGAAGCCGCAAGGCTGGTTACTACTAAATAATACTATGTCCTCATATCCTGCCTTCAAGTTTGTCACCAGACAACAAGGCATTCCTGCATAAGCTTCCCTCCTGTCTGGAGGGACAGAGGCAAGCAAAGTGGAAGGGACTATTTTTTTTTTTTTTTTTTGGTTTTTACGAGACAGGGTTTCTCTGTATTGTTTCGGAGGCTATCGGTCCAGCCCGGCCTCGAACTCACAGAGATCCGCCTGCCTCTGCCTCCCGAGTGCTGGGATTAAAGGCGTGCGCCACCACCGCCCGGCGGAAGGGACTATTTTTAAGTTTGATTCATTTTGTTTTGCTTTTCAGGCAGTATCTCAGGTAGCTGAGGTTTGCCTAGAACTTGCCATGTGGCCAACGATGACCTTGAACTTCTGATCCTCCTGCCTCCACTTTGCAAATTCTTGGATTACAGATTTATACCTCCATTCCTGGTTTATGCAGTGCTGGGGATTGGAGCCAGGGCTGTGTGCATGCATGCTATGCTAGGCAAGCCTCTACCAACAGAGCAATAGCCTCAGACTCAAGAGACTTTTTTTTACTCTTCTTTGGAGTAATGGAATGTTATCTGCACAAGTCTTCCATTTCAGTCTCAGGACAGCCTGCCTGAGGAGCTAGCAAGACAGACCACTATACAGACACGAATCCCCAAGGCTCAGAAGGGTAAATAGCATACACTGTTAGCCAAGAAACTGAGATTCAGACCAGATACCCAAGATTCTGAGAGGCTTGTAGGGGTAATGCAGCCAGGCCTCAGAACAAGGTCAGCTGAGAGGACAGAGCAACCAGGGAAAGGTCACCCAAAGCACCTACTGCGTACAGCTTGCTTGGGTTCATCTACCCTGCTTCTCCCAATGGCAGCTTGCAGAAAAGAGCATCCTATTCCTTGCCTTCACATGAGTCCCACCCCTTCCTGGGTGGCATCCTTCTCATTGTCCCCCAAGGTGCTGGAACACAGCTGTGTAGAAGGAGCCTGCTTGTGGGGCTGCATGTGTGCAATAGAAGGAACTAGGAACCATGTGGCTGAACACCCTGTTTCTGAGGCAGACAGGAGAGGACTGGACAGGAAGGGCAGGGAAGTTTGATGTTACTGAAGCCTTGGAGGAGCCTAGGGGAGGAGGAAGCCCAGAGGTCTCAAGCAACAAAACCAGCAAAAGCAAGAAAAAGTTACTCAAGTGGTCCTGGTACCCACTCTGCTGCCGGCAAGCTATGTGGCCGTGCGTGAATTGTTCTCCCGCTCTGAACTGTGACTATTAGAAAAAAAAGTGGACAAGGAATGAGCTCACAGGTCTGCAGCGGCTCTCATTTGATAAGCTGAAGGAGAACGGGAACTATCTCTCAGCACCTACATGTGTATGTCTTACAGACAGACAACCACTCTATTCCTTTCTCAGCAGAGGACTCTCTTGGGCTCAACTTCTCAGTCCACCTAATTTGAACTTAGAATGCTCTCTCATTCGACTGCAGTGACACAGCCGGCCTTCCTTTGGCCCTCTTGTGGCTCCAGGCTCTCCTCCCTTCAACCCTTTGAGACCTAAGGCCTTCCTCCACCCGTTTACTATTCCCCTCCCCACCAAACTCCTTACCTTCTGCCTGGGCCAGAAGCATGGAAAGGAACAGGGCCAGCGGCACCTGCGGCACGCAGAGCTGCATGGCAAACTTCCCAAGCGTGGGAGGGCCTCGCTTCGGAGCAGCCACTCAGAGTGAGTCCCCCTGACTGCCAGCCTGCACACCCTCTGCCAACCTCATGTCCCAGGCAGTCTGCTTTTCCAACTGCTGTCTGCACCTTGTGAGGCTGCAGCCTGGCACTCCCGGGCCACCAGAGTTGGGGAGCCGCCAAGTTTTCTAGCGTGCAGCTTTTCAGCTGGATCAGGTTTCAGGGCAGGAGGAAGGGGAGGGGAGTCTGCAAGCTGATGGCAGGAGAGGGAGCTCATCCCACCCCTTCAAGTAGGTGGCTTGGCCACATCTTGGCCAGCAAATGTTTTGGGGAAAGGGCGGACAAGGTCTGTGGAACAAAGGTGCAAACTGACGGCAGTGGGAATGTACACTGGGCTGTCACAGTCACTAGTGTCCCTTCACAAGTATAGCAAAGGAAAGGCCAGGAGCTGGCTTAAGCAGGGGCTGCGGGATGTATACTTTGGCTCCCCCAAGGTGACATATGCCCCTAATGAAGCAGGGGCATTGTCTGCAGACAGAGAGGAGAGCATGGGGGGGGTCAGTAAAGGTCTGCTCCTTCATCCTCATTCAATTAAATTTTTAAAAATTTCATCTTGCTTTGTTTTGCTTTGTTTTTCAAGTCAGGGTCTCATGCAGCCCAGGCTGTCTTTGAATTCACTAGGGAGCTGAGAATAGCTTTGGACTTCTAACCCTCCTGAGAGACTTCACCTCTCAAGAACTAGGATTGCTTAAAGGCAGGTGCCACCAAGAACTGAAGAAAACTAAATACATTTCATATGTCTCTGTCTGATTTTCTGAGCTTTAACAAACACCATTGAATGTATGAGGAGGAATGGATGAGGTGGGGTGGATGGGAGGTGGGGGCACAGGAGGAGAAGAGGGAGGGGAAACCGTGGTTGGTATGTAAAATAAATAAAAATTTAATACCAGGAAAACCAAAAGAAATATACCGCCTTTTGTGATTACATTCTTATCATAAGTTGGGGGACACGGTTTTGGGTGTGGTGCTTGCATGGTATGCACAAGCTTACTCCAATCCATAATGCCACTCAGGCAAAGATTTGCCATGGGTCAAGGTGGTGCTCACTGTAATTCCAGGGAGGCAGAGGCGGGAGGATCCAAAGTTTCAGGCCACTCTGAGCTACAGAGCTGGTTCAAGAGTGTTTTGGGTACCTGAGACCCTGCCTCAAGAGACAGACAAAAATAAATTAAAAGTTAAATAAGCGAAGGACCAAGTACTGGGAGTCATGTATGTAACCTCAGCACATGGGGTGTGTGTGGGGGGGGGGGGGGGTGAGACAGTGTCAGGCTGCACATAGAGCATGACCTCTCTCCTCTCTCTCTCTCTGTCTCTCTCTCTGTCTCTGTCTCTGTCTCTCTGTCTCTGTCTCTGTCTCTCCTCTCCTCTCCTCTCTCCCCCCCCTCTCATCCCCTCTCATATACACAGAGTTAAAAAATAGTAACATACATATATATATTTTGAAGTTTTATTTTACTTTTAATCATTATGTATATGGGGGTAGTGTGGGGGTGGGTGGGTATGTATGTCTGTGAGTACAGGTGACCTTACAGTCCAGCAGAGGATGTTGGGTCCCCTTGAGCTAGAGTTACAGGCAGTTGCAGGCTGCCTGTCATAGGTGCTAGGAACTGAACTTGGGTCCTCTGCAGGAGCAATATATGCTTTTAACCTCTGAGCCATTTCTCCAGTCTTGCAAAAAAATTAATGTCATGTGTATTTTTATGCATTTTTGTTAGTTATAATAAATGTATGTACTATTAATTATAGGAAATCATGGAGAACAATTGCAAGCATCCAAAGGCTTACTGTCCCAGAGAGAGTCACTGTTAATACTGTGGTGCATGTTCCTCTGTGAGTTCTTTCCATCAAGTGTATAGTTAGGAAGATAGGAGGGTGGAAGGATACTTTGGTAGTTAAGAGCACTGGCTGCTCTTCCAGAGGTCCTAGGTTCAATTCCCAGCACCCACATGGCAGCTCACAGCTGTCTGTAACTCCATCTCCAGAGGATCTGATGCCTCTTCCAACCTCCTTAGGCTCCTGCATGCTTGTGGTCCAGGGATACACTCAAGCACACGCACACATTTACATAAAAGTAAATAAACAAATATACTATATACATTTTATAGCCTTCTTCCCTTCTTTCAAAAATGTGTTTTTGCCTTTTAAGGATGTTGTTTTTAATTGTGTGTATGCATATGTATGTGTGGAGAGTGCTCCAAAGAGGCCAGAGGTGCTGGATCCCCTGGAGCTGGAGCTTCAGGTGGTTGTGAACTGCCCCACAATGGGTACTGGGAACTGAACTCAAGTCCTCTGCAATAACAGTACATGACCTTGACTGCCGAGTCATCCCTCCAGCCCCCTTCCCTTTTTTGCTTACTATCCTTTTGTAGACATTTCCGATACCTTCTGTCTAACATAGGCTTTCTTGAAAAAGATATTTCTTTTCTCTTTGTGAGTTAAGTGGGTAAGCATCTGCTTCTCAGAGACACAGTTGTGTGCCCCAAAAGCTGTTTGAGTAAAAGACTGTACAACTTTCAGCTCGGAGAAGGCCCACCCCAATATGATGGAAGTGAAAACTCTCCCACCTCTTCTGTATTAAAGGCAAGGCTCTGCTATATCCATTGTGGTAAACTTCAACCAAACACTTATGTCCTTTGTAATTCCTTTTTAAATTGAATACAGGTGTGGAATGGATTGTAAGAAGGAAACACTTTCTGAATTGTAGTTTCTTTTCTTTCTTTTTTTTTTTTATTTTATTTGTTTGTTTTTCGATAGTGACTCATCTAACCCAAGCTTGCCTAGAACTCCCTGTGAAGCCAACGATGACAATAACAAACTCCTGATCCTCTTGCCTCTGCTTCCCAGATTCTGGGATTACAGATGTGTATCACCTTACCCACTACATACAGTGCTGAGGATGGAACCCAGGGCTTCATGATGCCCGGCAAGCATTTACCAACTAAGTCACATCCCTAGCCCCAAGAATAATATATCATACTTTCTAAAGACAGAACCTCTTGTAGCTAAGGTTGACCTTGAACTCCTGTGCCCTCTTTCTAAATACTGGGATTATAGGCATGCACCTACCACAAAGCCTGGTTTATGTGGCACTAGGGTCAAACCCAAAACCTCATGCATGTTAGGCAAACACACTACAAATTGAGTTACATCCCCCAGGGCCCTAAATTGTAGTTAAAAGACAAACATGTGTCTGGGTCAGGCTCAATCCTTTCCTCATTCATATGCACTATAAACTCTGCACATAGTACTGTGACATTCCTTGGCAGATTCCCTTCCTAGGAATGATAACCTGTATTTGATTCTAGAAGGTTCCATCAAACTTACAGAGCTCTTGTTGCTCTTCTGTAAATGCATTTGCTTCCAAAGTAACCATTCAGAAACACAATGAAAATCAACCCATAGATTTTATCTTGAGAGAATGTCATGGAGACCAAGTGGTAGAAAAGGACACTTAGCAATTAGGTGACCCCAAAATTGTAAATAATGTGTCAAGCCAGACACTCCCAGAGTGAATGTTCTCAGACTTTGTGGTTCAAAGAAAGGCAAGACAAGACAGGAGGATCAAGGGTACCTCCTGGGTTTCCAGTCTGAGAACCCAAAGAAATCCAGTGATGCAGGAAAACAAGCCTACCCTGGAGGCCAGCTAAAACTCCAAGGTTACCTCTGTCTTCTGCTTGGGAACCATTGCACCTGCAAAGTTGCTGCAGATGGCTGCAGGATCTCTCCTCTTACGAGGTGCACTATGCGGCCTGCAGAAAGCATGCTGCAACTCATTGATGGGATCCCCTCACATAGCAATAAGCCAGGGGGAGCATTCAGCAGACATATGAAAGTCAGGAGGAAGCATCAAGAGCCACCTAGTCTTAAAGAGGCCACACCACAGTGGGAAGGAAGAAACAGAAGATACTGGGGAGGTCTAGAGAAGAGAGAAAGAAGAAAGCGGAGAGAAGACCAGGAGGGAAGATAGGGTGGAGGCTGAGGTGAGCAGGGTAAGGTGGGGAGAGGAGACATAGAAGGAGGGAAGGACGCATCTGGAGGTGGAGTGTGGACTGCCCCTTCCTATCACCCTCCTCTGGGAAGTGGGCCTTCCACACTGTAGAGTGGGTACCCACCATGTATGTGCATCAGGACCTATTAAGAGGTGGAATGGTGGCATCAAATGGATTTTGGGTGCCCATCCCACAATAAGGGATGCTCTCTTAGCCTGGACTCTTGGGGGAGGCCCTAGGCCCTGCCCTGAATGAAATGACAAACTCTGGAGATGGCTCATGGAGGGCCTCACCCTCCCTGGGAAACGGAGTGAGTATTGGGTGGGGGTTTGAGGGGAGGTTGTGGGGGGAGGAAGAGGGAGCTGCGATTGACATGTGAAGCAAGCTTCTTTCTAATTTAAATAAAAGAAATTAAAAAGAGGTAAGATGGAAGCCATGGTAGCTCACACATGCAATCCCAGCTGCTTGGGAGGCTGAGGGGAAGGGACCAAGGTTCAAGCATGGCTGAGGACAGATAGCTCAGTTCATAGCGAGCCTAGCACTCAAGAAGCAGTAGGCACAGCCCCCAGCACTTCTCAAAAGCCAGGCATGGTGGTGCGCACTTATAATGCCAGACCTGGGGAGCAGGAAAATCAGAAGTTTAAGGTCACCTTCAATTACATAGTGAGTTCAAGACCATCCTGAGATACACAAGACCCTGTCTCAAACAAACATGCAAGCAAGAAAAATGTTTAAGATTAAGTTGGCCAACTTAGTGAAACCTTATGTCAAAATTTTAAAAAAAACACTAAAACAACAACAACAACAACAACAAAACCCTCCAGGTGTAATAGTGTTTACCTGTAAACCCAGCATGAGGGAGGCAAAGGCAGCAGGAGCAAGAGTTAGAGGCTAGACCAAGCTACATGAGAGTCTCAGGCTAACCTCAGCTACATGACATCATATCTGAAAGAAAACTCCTCTGAACTATAAATTAATAGGTTATTAGGAAGGCTAAGAACATAGCTCAGTAGAAGAGGGCATGGATAGCATGGGTAAGGTCAATGGTTCTCAACCTTCCTAATGCTGTGACCCTTCAATGCCTTCCTCATGCTGTGGTGACCCCAA